TTAACTCCGTACAGAAACCGTTGGCCGAATAAAAGGCTGACGAGTTTAAAACTCTCGGTAAAAATCAGTCTTAGAAGACAGGCCCGAAAAATCTTAGGAATGCCTCAATCAAACCTTTGAGCAAATAATAGATTAGTCAAAACTTTATTATCATGTCTAGTGTCCGAGCATTAGATTTTCAAAGAGAGGTCACTTCCTAAAGTCGGCCAGTATTACAAACGTGTGACTTTTAATTTCCTTATCATTTTAGTGCTTTTAGTTGAGAGAGCAGCTGTGAATGCAGTATAATATACCCACCACACACACGCGCTCCACTGCAATGCATATATTTTGTGACAAACTTGGTATGTGTGGTAATCAGTTATGTATATTACACCTACTCTGTGTTAGACAAGCAAATTGTAAGGGAGTTATGCGCAATTGCGAGCATACGTCAATGCACACACCAAAGGCAGTGTTATGGAGTAACACAAATATAATACATGCCTGAATTCAGGCCAATGCTTTAGTGCTATATAAAGTGCTTTAGTTGTATGCTATATGCATTGTACGGAGTAAGTGATGGGTTGGTATGTGTGCAAATGCACTGTGCTTTGAATGAATGCTACGCCACTGAGGTAAACTTTAATTCAAGCTTTTATTTGTTCATTGTACGCCACCAATATATACTGCAAAACAACAATACATTCAAACAGTATTGTGTTTAACCAATTTGTACCATTTTTAATTATATTTGTATGTAATGTTTTGTAATTATTAGATAATAAATATTTATTATTATTAATTAATAAATGATTTAAAATAAACATAAACCACATTTTCTTATCTAGATAAGAATATGGGGTTTATATTATTTAAAATCACAAATACCTTATCTATTGTGTTTCAAATTAAATAATTAACTTGTTTTACTAATTGTCTTTATTTTGTTTATTAGCAATAATGATAAATAAAACGCAATTTTAAATCAAAAACAAATTGTTGATCTATTGAACAAAGAAGAAGTAGATGACGTCTCGAGCAATGATGAATGCAAAGAGGGAAATATCAGACATTACACTGACAGTTGGTAGAGAACTGTTAGTCATGATGGCAAAGAAGACATTCAAGACATATCATTCATTTGCAGTCTATTGAAATGGACCAAAATTAAAAGTTATTTTATTGACAGAAAGCAATGCATAACAATTATAACTAATTATCAATTATCAATAGCTAATGTTGTGTGGTTTACTACTATTAGTTAATGTTTTTATTATACTTTTAAAGTAGTATTATTTTTTACGCTTTTCCTAATCATAATGACTTTATTATTGAAATAAATGAATCGTTAATTAATTTTTTAATTGAATTGTTAATTGTTCATTACATTTACTTTATAGTCAATGATATTTATTATAAACAGTAAACTCATGGCAACGGATATGATATACAACTAATGCCGCTTTTGGCACTATGTATTGAGTGCTTATGTTATATACAATATACAGCACTATTGTACAGCTGAACTGATATGCAATGTATATTTTGCAGTATCACTCATACGTCATTCAGTACAATAATGTCAAATGCAAACTGATTGGTCAATAAAATTAGCGCTCGTTATGATATTGTTTATTGGCTCATAAATTACGTTAATAATTTTGTCAACCCCCATTTTCTTATCTAGATAAGAAAATGGGGGTTTATAGACATTATTTATAATGTATTTATAACTAGTGCTATGGCATATAATAACATTCTCTTTACAACTCATTGCTAATGATTAACGCCACTACAATGTATTCAATTTAAATACACAAACATGATATCAATATCGCACTATCACACCATGTACACAATCGAGTAAACGTTTGATTATTAAAGTGAAATGTAGTATTGAAATAACACTTTATTTGTTTAACAAATGTAGTTTCCATTTGCAATTATTTATATATTTCAAAATGAAAATGTATATAAATAAATTTTTATAAATGTAATTAAATGTTTATAAATATAAATTATTTAAACACATATGAACGTAGTTTTTGTTTTGCTATTTCTCATCACAATATTCCCAATATCACATGACTCTCACATCTGTTTATGTCTCTTAGTATTGACAGACTTTTTTAATAAGAGCCATCTATGAGTCCCTGTGCGTCAGACCTCACTGTCTTACAGCCTGATAGTAGGCATAGTATTCTATGGGTGATAATAAAATAAGGGTTCTACTGAGGAGTTAAACGCATTGCAATAACGAAAATATTTTTCCACTTTGTAACTTATAATAATGTATCAAAAACACTTAATTAAATAAATAAAATAAATACATATAAAAATAACATATTGTCCGCCATATCCGTCAAAAGAAAAATAGCTGATAATTAGTTATTATTATTAGTCACTAATCGGCAGTTTAGTTAACTAAAAAAAGTTAACTACATTAAATAATAAAAATTAATAAAATACCAGTAACAGTGGTCATTATATTTGGCATACAACAACTTATATAAACGTTATACTGTAATAGCCGTAAAATTATTTTTACTTATTATTTATTATAGCCTCAATATCTATTGTTTAAATATTTGGGATGGTCAAATGTAGACAATTTTTATCCTCTCTCTCTCTCCCTCTCTCTCTCTCTCTCTCTCTCTCTCTAAAAAAGTTAAAACTCAACTAATTGTTAAATTCTAAAAGTTATTTAAATAGTAATTAATGATGTAACTATAAAATTTAATATATTAATTTATCATAGTGTTTTAAAAAATATTAGTAATAGTAGCTAGTAGCTACTAGCTACCAATTTTATACTTTGTTTGTGCCAATTAATTGCAATCATGGTTATACAGTATTATATAATAATAAATCATAAAATATTTTATTAACGTTATTATAAGATATTTAATACTTTATTTTAATGATGTTTTTAACAATTGTATATAACTTACTTACAATTTTAAAATAGTTTATTGTTGATAAATAGTTAATGATTGCAACTTCAATTAAAAGTATAAATTTGAAACTAATCACCAAACTATCTAGTCTAGACAATATCAATTTCTACCATTTCTAAACACAAAATCACAATTAATGAATAGCAGAGCAAATAATTGTTGATTAATAGCCAAAAAATTATTCTCACATTAATTATGCAAAGTATTTACTAAAATAACATTTTCATTGCATATAATTTAAAACATGAAATCTAATGATAATGTTTTCGTTCGCTGTTTCCGGCAATCGATTAGTATATGTAATATAATTTCAAATCAAGCCTTCATTTCATATGCAAATACTTGTGATAACCATTAATATAAATCATATACAAATCATTGTATGTAGACATTTATTACTTGGTTAGCTAACAAGTAAGTCAGTCATAGCAAACAATTTTTAGCAACACAAAACAACCAACAATGTCACAACCAAACCCCTGCTTCAGTATCAATACAGCGCTGGAAACATCTAGATTAATCTTGGACATCATTATGCCACCAGTGGTACGTAAATCTCATAATAAAATCATGGCAAATTAAAGTTACTTTAACCTATAATTACTTGTATAATTAACACCAGTTATAGTTTACTATATATTATGTATGAGTTTTTTCTTGCGTTACAAAACAAATTAACAATATACTAATTTAATTAAATTATGGAATTTTAATGACCAAGGGCGTGTATTTAAAAACGGGCTGTGGCAAGGATCTGGCCATTAACATTGTACTGACCATGTGCGGAGTCATACCTGGAATAGTACACGCGTTGTATTTAAACTATACCAAATAATAATCTCTGTTAACGAGTTTAATCAATTCAAAAATATTAATTAAAATTTAATGTAATTTTGATTACAAATTTAAATAAAAATTTTCAGATGTAAACTGTTTTGTCATTTATTGTATATAACTTAATGGCAATTGTATTAAATAATAATTTCAAATGATTAATTTCCAATTATTATTTAATGCAAACCATATGAAATATATAATATTAATAAATTTAATATTTTATTTTTTAAACATAACTATATATGATTTTTAATCAGTAATACAGTTCTTAGTCGTAGACTTCAATGTTAAAACTCATTTATGACATTAAACTTAAGCATTAAAAATGTATTTCAACTTATCAAAAACATTAATTTTTTGTGGTTTTTATATTAAATGCTATCAAAACCTATGAATAAGTTTTAACATTGGAGTCTACGGCTAAGAACTGTATTACTGATTAAAAATCATATTTGGTTTTCACAAATAATTAAAATCGTCACAATTAATTTTGTAAAAATATTTTATTTATAACAGATTTTAATAAATAAGTAAATAAAATGTATTATAAAAAATATTTGAGTAGTTAATAAATAAATAGTAATTACTAAAAAAATATAATAGCTTGATCAATATATTTTAAAAATTATATAATATAAAAGTCAATTTATATTTCTCCTTGATAATCTAATAATTATCAGCATTATGAAAAACAATATAACCGTTAGACCAATGTAAGCAAACTCGACATCAAGCAAAATATGGGGCCTATGCTCGATGAGGGGCCCGATCACAAAGGGGGCGATTAAGGGGCAGAGAGCCGACACAATGGACACAAACGCTGATATTTTATTAGTAAACGTCAAGTATTTGTCAGCAAAAGCATAATAGGAGGGAAACATTGATGATAATCCATAACCTAGATCAACAATAATTAAATCAGACATTAATGAAAAATGCTAACATAACTACTGTAGTACTATTATTAAACAATATTATTATTTATAGAAACTAGATACCATAAAATTGAAACAAAATAAACATGCTACAAACCAATAAAACCGTTGACAACCCATAAGATGATCCTATTATCGGCGCTAAACTGTAGGCCAATTAACGACAAACAGATTATGGTAATGTGATAGCCGAGCATAATCTCGGGACTCAACCGGCGGGACACGTATGAAGAGACTAGCGGTCCCGCCGTATATACAGCGGTCATTAGGGCCATCATATTGGCCGCCATATCGGCCGACACCCGGGCCGGCCCGTACTGGTAGTATGTGGTACAGTAACTGAAATAGGTTAGCTCAACACCCGAGTAACAATTCAAACTTAACGCGGTCAATATGATCATGATTAGCCGATATTTTGAATTTAGTTTATTTTTCTCGTCAATAATTATTTCACTGCTATCATCATTATTTTCCGGCCGTTTATAACGTTTAACAAAATACATGATCAATAATACTGTTGGACCTTAAAAAGTAATTTAATAATTAATTTTAAATACTTGTATCATGCTTATTTAGAGTATATGCATACATATTAGCCCAATGGCACCAACAGTAATATACGGTATGATAAGCGCCGGCCGTCTATCCATTAGGTAATTAATATCCGTATTGTTAACATCGCTAACAGTTGACCCTAACGTCTCGGTCGTTGTCATCGCGTTATTATCGGACAGATCGCCCAACACATAGGGCTGGGCTATCAATGGGGCCAACACTGAGCCCAAGCCAAACATCATTTGCGATAATTGCAGAACCGATGGGCTCCGGGAGCCCCACAACTCTATAGTCCACACTTGGTTACCGCTATCCCACGCACCGCCGCCTATACCCGTGATTAGGGCGCACACGTATAGCTGCCATAGGGGGCCACAAAAGGGGGTCAATGCTGTGGTTATGGCCGCAAACAATGTCATTATGATGAATGTTAATTGTCTGTTAATGTAGATGTATAAATATCCAACTAAAATAAAAATATAAATAGTTTAATTAGATGGTGTCAATACATTTGCATTTTATGGTATAAAAGCTGTAAATATATTTTTGCTTATTGTTTAGTATTGACTGAGAAATTATGGTTGAAATATTTGGTCTGACAGATCTCGAAGTCTCTCTCTCTCAATATATATAATATTATATTATATTACAACATACTGAGAGCGCCCACCAAATAGCCAACGCTTACGAATGTGTTTCTATAGGACACGGCTTCAGTTGAGGTCCTAAATAAAAATTTCATGTCAACCAATGTTGGGGCGAATATATTAGTTGTTAACCCCTATAAACAGTATTTAAAATATGTTTAGAATAACAATGATTATTATTTTTAAAAATAAAAGTTACATTACATAGCTAAGGCACCCGAATAAAATGCACGCGGTGTATACGTATTTAGCCCATGATGTTTTCAGTTTTTTAATATAGTTATTAACATTATTATTATTTATATTATAGATATTATTATTACTAAAATATCTCTCGACATCCTGGTTACTTTTCAATTTATTATCCATTTGTTTAATATAATAATTAACTTATTCATTAAAATGCTTTATTACTTACACTTAAATAGTAAATAAATAAGTTTTTTTTAATTACCTTACAATTAGAGTCTTATATAGTGTTACAAAACGTTGTATATCTTGATTATGTATTGCTTTATGTTAGGAAATGCCCTTCATATAATAAAACAATTATTCTTTTCCAGATTTATATGCTATTTATTTTTAAATTAAGTACAATTTGTAACGATATAATACAGTAGTAATATTGATAACATATAAAAAGTTGGTAGATATGACAATACTTCAATTTTTATAATAAATATACATGTATGTTACAAGTTATATTCATAGTAGAATCTATAGTTTATTTAATAATTATGATTGGTATACAAGTACACGCCAAAGTATAATAATATACATGTATTATTTAAGTGAATATAATTTCAATACAATTTCATTAAGGTGCAAATAAGTATATCGCGCTCGCAAAATGTCCTGACAGATTATAATTGATCATAATAAACCTAATTGAGTACCTTTATATAATAATAATGATGTTTATATAATGATGATTAATTAAGATAAAAAGATTAATTATTGCGCTGATTAAGGCTTATTAAACAATCATGCGCTAGTATTAGGTTCTGTTAATATTTTTATATTATTAATTAACTTAATGCAATTGTTATTTTTAATTATTGATAATTTGTGTGTTTGGCCATGGTAATTTTGACAACTATAGTCGACTATTATACCAAAAACTAGACAAAACGAGGTAAAACTTTTTATAGTATCAAACCACGGTAAAAAATAAACCACAAGTATGTAATTATTTCTAAAGTAACGTTAGTGGACACGCTAATATATACGGTACATGTAATTAATATTTGTGCCCAATTAGACCATAATGGGTAGTTAAATAATTCAAAAAATTATGGTAATTTTAATGATATAGACTGTAAATTTTACTTAAATGTAGTAAATATATAACTTTACACATTTAACATGTTATAATATTGGAGACAAAATCCAAGGCGTATATTATTATAATTTTATAAATAAGGATCATTATATTTATAAATCTAGATCATTTAAAAACAAATGTTGCTAATGATTGTTAAAATGTTGTACAGATTATCAAGTTATTACTTATTTAATCAAATGTTCATTTTTATAATAAACTTGATTAAGTATTTCGATTATGTATTTGTTTAGATGATCATAAAATTTAATTAAATTTTAACTAAAAACTAATATATATAAATTATTTAAAAAGAACACTTTTGTTAGTATATGCTATAATTTAATTATATTGTAACATTATAATAAAATAGCTTTTTACATAGTTTAATAATATTGTGGTAATATTAGTCTAAAATAAAAATGAACAATGAATTTTAGGAGCTATTTTAAAAGCTATTATTAGTGGTATGAACTGTAAACTTTACATCAATGTTGTAAATATATAATTTTAAAATTTAGCATATTATTATGGATGCCAAAAACAGTCCCGTAATATTTTAATTATTTTTCCTTATTTAATTAAATATGCATTTTTAATTGCTAATGATTAGTTATTAAATAATACACAGTTTAAAGTAATAAATCGTTTTATTAATTTTTTAATAATAAAATAATAAGTTAAATAAAATGTTAAGTCCTATGGCTGTAGAGAAATACTGTACTCACTTTTACGCACAGTAATATACATGTAATTTATATTTCTGTTCAATTAGACCATAATAGGTAGTCAAATAATTCAAACAATTATGGTAATTTTAATGATATGGACTGTAAATTAAACATCAATATTGTATATATTTTACTTTAAATATTTAACATATTATAAATATGTTGTGGTTTATTATTATTTTATTAATCAATCATTATATTTATAAATCAAGATCCTTTAAAAATTTCGCTACACATTTGTTAAAATTTTGTACATATTATTTATTCAGTAGTATATTTCTGATAGTTTAGAATTTTTTATAAATATCATTTCAATTTATTTTATCAAACATTCATTTTATAATTATTTATAATATATTCATATATGTATAATTATATATTTATTAATTTTTTAAAACAACGTTGTTACTACATTGTAATATAATATATTATGTCATAATTAAATCTGATTATAACATTATTATTAAATAGTTATTCACATTCTTTAATAATTAAAATCAGTGTAATATTGTGTGATGGACCGTAAACTTGTTGTAAATATATAATTTTAAAATTTTGTATGTTATTATTATGGATTTCCATTGTAAGATTAATTATCTTAGATAATGTTTGTTATAGTTGTTATTATTTTAATTTATTCTTATTTTTAAAAAAAAATTTATTCTTATATTAATGAAGTATTAATATTTGTTATTTAAATTAACCATGTTTTAAATTATTAATGACCAGCATATTTAATTAAATTAATAAAATATATTATATTTATAAATATAATTTTATTAGAAACAACAAATGTTAGTAAAATACAAATGTATGTTATAATTTAGTGCACACTGTAGCATTATTATTATTAGATATATTTCTAGCTCGCTTAATAATCAATAACATTACAATAAATAAAACAATAGTAACCGCGAGATAACCAAACTCGAGGTCCAACAGTACGTGCGGGTGATCTTCAATGAGTGGTCCGATAAGAAAGGGTGACATTAATGGGAAACACTGCGAAGCGATCGACACTATCGACGAGATTTTATTAGTGAACGTCAAATGTTTGTCCGTAAATGAATAGTACAACGGATACATCGCTGAGAAGCCGTAACCTTTTAAAATATCATAAGGGTAAAATAATTTTTATTATATGTTGCTCAAGAAATATAAAATATAAACAAACCTATAAATGCGTTAACCACCCAGATACGTGTCATGCACATCTGGCTAAATTGCAACACCACAAACGATACGGCTATAATAATCAAATGATACGTTAACATAATTTCCGGACTAAACCATCTTGATATGAATGATGATGCAATAGGCCCAAGAGCATAACACCCGGTCATTAGGGCCATAATATTGGCCGCCTTATGGGCTGATATATGTACCAATGGATCATATTGGTAAAATGTGGACCCATTATTCTGGTAGGTTTGTTCGACGCCCGAGTAGCAATTGAGTGACATTGCAGCTAATATGATCATGATCATACGTGTCCTAGGTGTAAATGTTGTTTCTCCACATTTATCTGGTTCAGTATTGGTAACCATTTTTGGCATTTTATATCGCTTGACCACATACATGATCAGTAATAGTACGGGTGCTAAACAATGTCAATAATAAAGTTCCGTGTTTAATTAATTAACCTTAAATCATAGTAATTTATTTATATAAATAATCTAGTTTTTAATTTAATTTATTATATTACTTACTAATTTGTGAATTTAGTTAACAATTACAATTGTTATTAATTATTAATTACACTTGTAATTAATTAGATTATTTAACAATTAATATATTTAATAATGTAATTATGTACTAATCCATATATTAATCTAGCTAAACATGTCTACTTACTAATTAACCCAATCGCGCCCACAATCATATAGGGTATCTTAAGTCGCGGGCGTCTGTCCACCGAGTAATTAATATCTGCCTCATGTGTAATATTGTCCATCCAGTAGTGTAGGGGCTTTGGACTAGTGTGATGATGGTGGTGGTCATCGTGATCATGGTGGCCGTGCCGGTACATGTCGCCCAACAGAAATTCCCGGGACAGTAACGGTGATAGGGCACAACCGGCTGCGTAAGCCATCTGGGTCAGTTGCAAAACTGATGGGCTCCGGGAACCCCACATCTCGATACTCCACACTTGGTTACCGCTGTCCCAAACACCGCCGCCCACTGACGTGCAAAACGCGCATAAGTAGAGTTGCCACATGTGTTGGCAATATGGGTGTAGTGTTATGCCGATGCCCGCCGATAGTGTCATCACAATGAATACTAGTTGACGGTTTAGGTAGTGGTATGTAAATCCAACTAGATTAATTAATAATATTGATTTAATGGTAATATCGAACTTGATTATAAAATTATTTAATATACTGTATGTAATAGTTATACATATACTGAATAACATGCATGTGTGTGTGTGTGTACTGTATAATTTATACATGTATATTCTATGTATGTAAAACTGTAAAATTATTTCCATTTATTTTATGTTATTAATATGTCACACCGTGTTCAAAATATATGGGCGACCAAATTAACAAAGCTTTAATTTTATTCTCTCTCTCTCTCTCTCTCTCCCCTCCCCCTCTCACTCATTCATTTCAATTTCAAGTGTTATTAACTGCAATACAATACAAATTAAAAGCACATCTAATTATTTGGGTTCAATTATACGATATTTAAAGATAA